TCTGCCTCTTCAATGAGCCCAAGCCAGGAAACATGTTTGCCACCCGCTCCCCAGGCATCTGTGTTTTTGGCAATAAACCATGGGCTGAGACTTCCTGAGCTCTGGGGCAACAGGGGCTGCTCCCTGCAGCGCTTTGCTGCCTTCTCTGTCCTGGCCCAGCATGAGATGCTCTCCTGCCCCTACAGTGCCAGATCTGGCTGCAGTGTCAGGAACAACTGCTGCCTGTGTGGAGCTGCTCTGCATGTATCTCATGGGCATAAAATTATCTCTATTTTTATACAAAGGCTGAATGAACTATGCTCAGTTAAGGGATAAATCCCAGCTAAATTTAAACTTCCTGTTTTAAGACTACTAAAAGTCTTTTTCTACATATACATATAGAAAAAGAAGCTACTAAGTTGCTTATGTTGAAATATATATTTATAAATTTTAGCTTTCTGATAGGAAACTGAGCTATGGCAATTAATTTTTTGAGGGCTTGGATCATCTGTGCTTCTCTACTGCTGCAGTCCACCAGCACTGGGTGCTCCCAACCTGTGTGAAAGGGACAGTCATGGGTCACTGTGCTGCAACAGCCATCGCAGGGGTTTTCCATCACCAGTGTTAGTTTGAAAAAGAAACGAATTGCAAGATCCCTGTCTGTGGCTTGCAAAGCCTCACTGCTGCAAGCAAGGCTCTGCTGATACAGGAGCACACCCTGCGTGGGCAATCTGCAGCACCTCCTGCATTCTTCATGATCGTATCTGCAACCTGCCTGTGGCCAATGGATAAGCATATGGCCCCTTTTTAACTCCCATACTGTCCCAATAGCAGAAAGGGCATTTTAACTTCCCTGCTTCCCAAATCCGGGGCGCACAGCCTGCTCTGACAACATCTCATGTGCCTGCTCCACTTCCCTTGTTGTCCCAGACCTCCCTCCATGTGACAGCAGTAAATCGCTGCTGGAAGGCGCCCGCACAGAAATAAACCATTTACAAGCTCCCATGGCCTTGTATGTAGGGCCAAGGTTAACAGCAGAGGGGAAGCCTGGCTGCAGAAGAAAAGTCTGTTGCACCTGAAGGCTGAAAGGAGGAAATTTTGCTTTAAATGACTCATGTGAGGCTTAAAATGCATCTCAGCAGGGATGTCGTGCAAGGTAGTGGGGGGAGACAGGACCAGAGCAAGTGAGGATGCTGCCCACAACCTCTTGCTCAGCATCCCCCCTGCCCATTGTGCTGATCTGGTCTTGTTGAGACACCTAGGGATTTTGTGGGTGACCTCAACAGATCCAATGCTTCCCATCTGTTGAAGGGTTAGCTACTGAAATAGTGACTTCAGCCAGGATTTGAAGCAATTGCAGCCAGCACAAGCTACCCTCATCTCCCTGTCTCACTCTGCTGTGGAAGGACTTGCAGGATCCTGGGCAAAACTCCTCTCAAAGATGAAAGTTTTGGAGGTGGATCAGAAATTAAGTCCAGCATATGCACGAGGCTCCTGATCCACAGTGACAGCCACCATGCTCTACAAACTCCATCAGTGTTAGTACGTGGGAACAGAGAATTGAAGGTAACTTGGTTTCTGTGCTCTAGTGGTGTTGCCATATTTCTTCTTTTGCCCCTTTAGCTCAACACATCAATTCCTTATATCATGCTTGTGCAGGACCATGGGCTCAGCACCATCATCCCAGGGATATTTGGGAGCCTTGCAGAGGAGAAGCAAATGTATAAATCCACGTTGTAGATGTCACTGGTGCAGAAGAGTGATGGAGTTTGTTATTTACACGTAGTGGATATGTTATTTACTTATTTATCTCAAGGATTTGCTTTAGGTCCCAGAGCAAAATGTCAGCTCTGGCAGTTTTGTACTGGTGTGTGTGGTGGGGATCTTGCCTTGGCAGTCATTTGCTCTGTGGAGCAAAGAAGCCAGGACAGATGAAAGAGTTAAATATGGAAACGAGATCCAGAAATATACTGGTAACCAGACAAAATTCTTTGGAGACAAGTTGTTCTAAACCAGCTCAGGCTGCAGTTCTGTTATCTGCTCTGCAAGAAAGATCAGAGCAGGAATATCTCTTTTTTTCCCCGATTCTTCTTCTCCTAGGAAGCTAAAAAGAAGAGCACAAAGCCCACTGCAAGTTCTTTCAGGACTTTGTGTCCTTGAACCATTAGCTGGTAGGTACAATTTAACTGCCACATCACTCATCTTGGCCCTGACTAGACCCAGATGAACACTTTCAATATTAATAGTTGGATGATTTAATAAAGCTGCACGAGCAGTAAATGTAACAATACACTTCCATAAAGGGGTTCCAGATGTTGCCAAGGCAAATGCTAAACATCAAAATACAAACTTAAAAAAAAAAAAAAGCCAAAAAAAAAATAAGCTGGATAAGCAAAACTTGGAACAAACTATAAACTAATTAAATGTGGGTTGAGTTTTCCAAAAATAAATTGAAGCCATAAGGATGTGATGTGAGCCAATGAATAGTACAGTTAGTCAAAGTTACTGTGGAACAACAGTTGGAAAGATGGTTTGAAGTCACCGATAGGTGGGCTCACAGTGAGCTTGGCTTCCTATCAATAGGAAGGCTTGTTCTCTTGTGCACAAGAGTGGGATCAAGTCTTCTGATATCTATAACTGGGACCCCAGAGAGGTTACTGAGAGAATACGAGATGATTTTCAAGTAGAAGAATAAAGGGAAAAACTACGCCAAGAGTGCCTGAGTCTCTTGCAAGAGCAGCAGGGGTGATATCACCACCCAAGGACACCGGGATTTTTTTCATGCCTGTTAGGGCAGCCCTTCAGCCTCTCGTTGTCCTCAGGGCATCCGTGCTTTCTGCTTGGCTGCCTGCAAGGCCCACTGAAGCACCACTGCTGTAGTCAATAATCCATCCTCCTCCCCCATAAAGGAGTCATCTAAAACAGCTCTCCAAGAGAATTTCATCCTATCCCATTGCTGCAGATGCAGAAGCAGTCAGTTCCCAACAGAGGAGTTTTTTTGCTCACTTGCCACATGCTCAGCTGCCAATGGTGACTGCAGTGTAAGAACCCAGCGGGATAAAGAGGGCTCTCTTTAGCTCGTGTCTACCAATGCAGCCCCAGAGAGCAGGTAGGTCATCCACCACCTAACTCTGGCTCCAGTTGTCTGTACACTGCAGTCCTCAAAGAGGGTGAATCACTAAGGAGCAAGCCTGGGGTGCACGGAGGTGGAGGCACAGTGTGTTCATTACAGGGAAGGTTTCTCCATCGCTTCATAGCCAAAGCGAGGGCAGGCAATGCATTTTTGCTGTGGGGCAGAATGAGCAGTTTTAATTCTCAAATGTTCTCTCTAGCATGCTGTTTTGTGGCAACTAAACACCAGATGGGCTTAAGGAAAGGTGATTGGTGTGAGATATTAAGATACTTGAATCCCTTCAGCTCTCCTCCTCACAAGGTGGAAGGGGACCAAGGCCTCTGCCACATAGTACTTCCATTATAGGACCTTCAGATTATGGTCCATCTTTCACTAGCAAATTGCCCTTAAATTGCTTTTTATTTTTCAAGGACAAAGAAAAACTGAACACTTCTAGGTCATCAATGCTCTACAGTGAGGTCTACTCCTCTTTCCCGTGTTTCTGTAAGCACTGAGGGATGGGGCTGATGCTAACTTAGCAGTTGCAGAGGGCTTCCCAGTTTGCTGATTGTACAGCAGCTCCGGGAGCTCTCCACACCATCTTTTCCGTGCAGGTCAGTCAGCCTGTAATCCCCAGGCTTTGCACTTGGAGAGGCTAAGGCCTGGGAGATTAGCTGCCATGCTCTGCAGCTTTCCTTGTCAGCAGCATGCTAAAAACAGGATTGAGGAGCACTCCATCTCAACCCTGCAGCCATTTTGCTCCTGAAAACCCGTGGTAGGTACCCTGATGGAAACCCAACCTGTGCTGAGCCCTGCTTTTCCACCTGGGTGAGCCTGGGCTCAGCGGCAAGTCCTTTGTCCGCTGCTGAGTTTAGGGTTAGGCTTTGCCTTGGGCTTTCATTCATGGCTAATGACATGACTACACAATAACAGAGCATCTCATAAAATTATTATGAAAACAAACAAATTCCTTCTATATTATACACAGTACTTGTTTTTAAGATTTAAGCAACAGCAGGGCTGATGGGCTCCACTCTCTTGCTGACCCATGTGAGAACACCAGGACCTTGGTGTTCTCCATTGGCAGGTTGCTCCCGAGCTGCCTTCTCCATGAAACAACCGCTAGTGCCACAAGTGGGCTGCGTCAGGTTAATTCCTGTGTCCCTGATTTCAGGAGATGCTATGTAGGGTCAGAAGTCCCTATTGCAATTGTCTAGCATGACCTGTGTAACAGAGCCTCAGATTTCCTGCAGGCAGCTCCAGCTTGAGCTAGGTCTGACGGAAAGCACCTGATCTCACTGCAGTGCTGCAGGACCCCCACAGAATTAGGCCTCAAGGTGTTCATAGAATCACAGAATGGTTTGGGTTGGAAGGGACCTTAAGATCATCTAGTTCCAACCCCCCTGCCATGGGCAGG